GGAGTGCAAGAGCCAGGTGCAGGCAAAGGAGTGCAAGAGCCAGGCGCAGGCAAAGGAATGCAAGAGCCAGGCGAAGGAGTGCAAGAGCCAGGCGAAGGAGTGCAAGAGCCAGGCGCAGGAGTGCAAGAGCCAGGCGCAGGAGTGCATGAGCCAGGCACAGGAGTGCATGAGCCAGGCGCAGGCAAAGGAGTGCAAGAGCCAGGCGCAGGCAAAGGAGTGCAAGAGCCAGGCGCAGGCGAAGGAGTGCAAGAGCCAGGCACAGGCGAAGGAGTGCAAGAGCCAGGCACAGGCGATGGAGTGCAAGAGCCAGGCGCAAGCAAAGGAGTACAAGAGCCAGGCGCAGGCAAAGGAATGCAAGAGCCAGGGGCAGGCGAAGGAGTGCAAGAGCCAGGCGCAGGAGTGCAAGAGCCAGACGCAGGAGTGCAAGAGCCAGCTGCAGGTGAAGGAGTGCAAGAGCCAGGCGCAGGCGAAGGAGTGCAAGAGCCAGGCGCAGGCGAAGGAGTGCAAGAGCCAGGCGCAGGCGAAGGAGTGCAAGAGCCAGGCGCAGGCGAAGGAGTGCAAGAGCCAGGCGCAGGCGAAGGAGTGCAAGAGCCAGGCGCAGGCGAAGGAGTGCAAGAGCCAGGCGCAGGCGAAGGAGTGCAAGAGCCAGGCGCAGGCGAAGGAGTGCAAGAGCCAGGCGCAGGCGAAGGAGTGCAAGAGCCAGGCGCAGGCGAAGGAGTGCAAGAGCCAGGCGCAGGCGAAGGAGTGCAAGAGCCAGGCGCAGGCGAAGGAGTGCAAGAGCCAGGCGCAGGCGAAGGAGTGCAAGAGCCAGGCGCAGGCGAAGGAGTGCAAGAGCCAGGCGCAGGCGAAGGAGTGCAAGAGCCAGGCGCAGGCGAAGGAGTGCAAGAGCCAGGCGCAGGCGAAGGAGTGCAAGAGCCAGGCGCAGGCGAAGGAGTGCAAGAGCCAGGCGCAGGCGAAGGAGTGCAAGAGCCAGGCGCAGGCGAAGGAGTGCAAGAGCCAGGCGCAGGCGAAGGAGTGCAAGAGCCAGGCGCAGGCGAAGGAGTGCAAGAGCCAGGCGCAGGCGAAGGAGTGCAAGAGCCAGGCGCAGGCGAAGGAGTGCAAGAGCCAGGCGCAGGCGAAGGAGTGCAAGAGCCAGGCGCAGGCGAAGGAGTGCAAGAGCCAGGCGCAGGCGAAGGAGTGCAAGAGCAGGCGCAGCGAAGGAGTGCAGAGCAGGCGCAGGGAAGGAGTGCAAGAGCCAGGCGCAGGCGAAGGAGTGCAAGAGCCAGGCGCAGGCGAAGGAGTACAAGAGCCAGGCGCAGGCAAAGGAGTACAAGAGCCAGGCGCAGGCGAGAGATAATTATAAGCATACAAATGCATAGTTAATAGTTTGATCTGGTGGGGAAGGAGGCAGCTCCAATTCCTTTCATGGGGAGGTCTACAGCTATCAAAATATCCCCTTATGAACAAGTGCAAAACGCGTCCGACCCCAAAGGAAACAAATCGTCTAAGTTGGTGTTGTTGGGTTATACTAGGTTAAATCACATCTTTGACTGTGTTGCATTACTCAAGGTTAAACCATAATACAGTATCTGACCTTGTTCGTTTGTCCTAGGCTGTCCTGGTGAAGCATGCTATGTGCAGTTACTTGAACACCGCGAATCAATTTCACAACCTCCTACTATATTTTTACGTTATGTAAATTTTCACAATTTTATTGTATTAAAATAGAAAAGTTAAACCCTGAGAATGAGCGGCAATCAGTTCGACCCAAGGAAGAGGGCAAATACAATTCTTGGGATCAAGAGTCCCTCGCTTGACGGGACAATAATGATAACCGATTCCTTAGATAAAGTCTCTCGCCAGCATCCCCTCCTTTAAAATATATGATAAATCAGCAAGTCCGCAGGGTTTTAAGGATATACACAGGTGTATATGCTAAATCCCTATTTTAGGGATTAAAGGTTATGTATAGCCTTAATGACCCTCGTGTAGCATTAATGATGTAGAGATACAATACTTCAGAGTTGTGGTCATTATTTTACAATATTAACATGTAAAATAAATACAAATTATGTCAGTGAGCAAGCAAACGTTATTGTACATTATGCCTTTATAATATTAAAGTAGTTACATCTTGGCGCCTTTTACGTATATAACCGTTAAGTTTATTCAGGTACACTTAATTTTGGGGGGATGACTGCAACTGTCCTCCATAATTATGTGAAATTACCTTAGATACCCCCCCCCCCTAAAAAAATGTCAGTGGCTTATTTCCGTTGAGTTCCTTTAAATTATACTTCTACATATAAACTGCAGCCTATAAAGGAATTCCCTCGGTAAATCTGTATTATCTTTGTGACAATGATACTTAACCATGTAAGCACACGGGTAAGATATTAGAAAGATTTCTTAAGGAAGAAGTCCTAACCCTGAAGTGGTTACTGGCGACAAGCAGATTCGATACAATGAATGGGAGGGCATGTTCAATTACTTAAATCAAGAGCTCCTCATTAGCATCAAGAAACTTTCCTTTTATGGAAATAGATAACAGAATACGAGGTACCATACGAATGTTTGTTCCTGTACCTACATATAGAAAATTATACTCGGGCTTTAATTAAATGCACTCGCCCAAAATTAAAACACATTAGTACATTTATTTACATTACCATGAGACTATTTTAAGATATCAGCATAATGATTAAAATCTTACTTCTGAAAATAAGTAACTTGCATCAAAAGACGCGTTGGGGACAGTTAATATAGCTAAGAATAAAAACAATCATATAACTAAGAATAAAAACAATCATATAACTATGAATAAAAACAATCATTATATTCGTTAACCTTCAAATTTGTTTATCCTCTTTTAGAGTTAATAGTAGATTTCGTGTTAATAAAGAAAATCTTAATAATTGTTATTATAATAAAAATTAAGCGTTAAACCTTGTCAAGGGTCATACAGAGCTACAGGGTGACATGCTCAAGAAGAAATATTAGATCAGAGACCAGCGAGAGTTAATATGCATGAGAGAGTTAGCAATGGTAGTGAAAGCGCTAAAGGGAAAATATAATCATAGTGTACTAAACCAGTTTCTGACAAAAAGGTCAAAGAGGAAGGTCTGTGTCGAAGGTAGGGCTGTCAGCGAGATCTGATAAATTAAACGCGTGACGGTGGTGGCGACGTGGAAGGAAATTCTACGTGCCCAGGGATGGATAGGACAGTCTATTAAGAGAAGGTAAACTGACAACGAACTTGACACTTCTCACAGAGCGGTCTTAACAAATGGTTAAATGCAGCAATTAGTCTGTCTAGATGGAGGTTATTCCGGGGATCAACGCCCCCGCATATTAGTTTTACGAACAAATTTCGTCAACGTCAACTTTCGCTTTGTTGCCAACTTAATATACTAAACATTATGAACTTAATGTTACAATTATTAGTTACTATTAATACTACTGCCCTACTATTCGCAGGTAAGCATTAAATCCATAAGGGCCAGACTGGGTTTTAGGAATGGAAGGTAATCAGCTCTTCGACATAAATATTTATACTTGGCAGTATCAGTAACTGTAATGGTACGCAAGACATATAGGCAACTTTATTCCGAAACGTTTCGCCTACACAGTAGGCTTCTTCAGTCGAGTACAGAAAGTAGGCAGGAGCAGTAGAGATATGAAGACGATGTAATCAGTCCATCACTCTTGAAGTCGTAGATTTGAGGTTGTCAGTCCATCAGCCTGGAGAAATTCTGTTCCAAAGTCTGGAACTAACTGAAGATCAAGCGACAGTGTTGAGACTTAAATACTGTCGGAAGGAGAAGTGAATAGTAGTAGTAGTGAGAATGTAGCCACTGAGAGGTCACGTCCCTCTCAGATCAAACGGTTCTCACTTGAAAAATTTGTCCAAGGGTGATGGACTGATTACATCTCTACTACTCCTGCCTACTTTCTGTACTAGACTGAAGAAGCCTACTGTGTAGGCGAAACATTACGGAATAAAGTTGCCTAAATGTTGCCTATGTGTCTTACCTACCAACCTGTCGGTATTGTATACCACTTTGTTATTCAGTAACTGTAATGTTTGAGTGAACATTGAAAATCTTGTACCTACTGGACCAAACAAATTCGATTGCAATATATAAAACAATCTGAGATGAATAAGAGGCAACCTAGTTACATGTCTGATGCTAGTTTCTATTCAGTATACAAAATATGTCAATAAGCAGAGATATTTTATATGTAGACCATGTTAACAAGCATCTTCCCGAAAAGCTAAAACTACGGCATTAAAATCATAACAGTTAAATTAACCAAGAGGAAAATTATAATATAAAACATTTTTTATGAATCCCAACATGCATAAAAGATTTACCCACAGAACCACGTCTTCATGATGGAGGAAACTTGACAAGTTCCTCCAGTCATATGTTGAGTGCAGTGCAGCTGGGCTGTAGTGTCAGTGCTGGACTGTGCTGCTGCTAGCTAGCACAACAGACTGATAAGCCATCAACCAGGAGCCCTGGTAGAGGACCGGGCCGTGAGGGCGATGACCCCAGAAACCTTCAACAGGCAGTCATGTAGATGCATTATACAGCATCTTAAGATACATTGTAAATATTTTGTACTGAACAAAATTATAACTGTTGTCGGTTATTTTAATAAACATTTATTAGTCTCTTATTGCATTCCTGCTAATTTTTTTATGACTTACAAATTAGTTATTAATTATGCTGTTGGCGGGAAATTATAACCTCATTAAACTACTATTGATCAAAAAACAGCATATAAGAGTCAAGCATGTAAGAGTTTTTGTCATACAAAAACTAATATTTGTGAACACGTAAGAGCGAGCATCAATATTTATACAAATGATGGTAAATGTTATAAAACTACTATAAATACCGCTAAACCCCGAAAAAAATTAAACCTTCTCCATTTCACATGTAAATACTAACACTGAACTTTTTAACAGAATAATGAAAGTTAATTAAAAACATGATAACTGAGGAGGCACTTACCTCCGGGTTGTTAAGTTGGTGGTACAAGTTGGCTTGTATCTCCTTGGTGTACTGGGCTGAGAAGGTGGGGAAGGACAGTGTTTGGTGAGCCCGCTGAGAAATCATGTTGGGTGGTGGAGCCTGGTGAGGCTGCAGTGTCTGGCTAGCCATAACAGTGCTGTAAGCGTGGCTGCCCATGACAGTGCTGTGAGCAGGAGCAGCTATAGGGTGTGTTGCTCCGCCATGTGACTCAACCTCACAGTTGACAAGCCTTTATTGGTGTCAAAAAATCTCTCCCTCTCTCTTTCTCTTATTTATCAACCCTTGAGCCTCCGCTTTACATTAGTTCTAATTAAACTCTGTATTAAGGCAATCTAAATTTTTGAAAAATATAGCCAATAAACGAGTAAAAACTAGAAAAAAAATCTGTGTAGGCACCTCGTACACAATCGAGCTGGCGGACAGTTGCCAGCACTTATTTTCACCTCAGTTACAGTAAGTAAGTAAGTTTATTCAAGTATACACAAATACAGTTACATAGAATTATCATACATAGCAGCATATGTGTAGAGAACCTAGGATAACCCAAAAAAGTCAGACAGAGTGACTTATTTCCATTGGGGTCCTTTAATTTCCATTGGGGAATTCTGTGATGACTTTGTAGTAAACAGGATATAGCTCATATTATAATAGTAATACACTGTACTTGAAGTAAATACTAGCATTCTAATAAGTGTGTTCTTTGTGAATTTGGAAGTATGTACATTGTACTCGTGCAATATTTACAACACGTTAGCTCACATTATGTTACATACTAATTCTATTAATATTGATTCCATATTGACCATAGTTCATCATTCCAGATCAGCGAGAATATCTAGATATGTACATGGATAAGGCGACAACAACATGACATGGTTGTGATACATTAGAAAACATCAGATAATTTTTTTTAGGAGAGTGCAACGACCCGACTGCTTGCCTCTACGAACTGAAATTGTTATGAAGGTACACACAAGAAATAAACTGCGTCGGACAAATTCAAGTGACTTTTATTTTAAATCCAAGAAGCATTCAAAATTTATAACCATGAAATATTCTTACTCCACTTTATTTCCTAATCTTAGGTTAAATCTGCATAATATAGTGTTCAGATAACCTGTGCCCTCAAAACCACTAAAAAAATCGTATGTATAAAATACCCAAATAAAAACTAATTCACTTATTATCAATGTTAGTCTATTTGCTTTACCCAACAATTTCATACTTCTATCTAGGATTAAGGCATCGGAGTTACGTACTGATAGTATTGGCAATTTGCCCCGAATACGATTGCCAACATACTTGCAAGTTTCTAGCATAATTTACATTTATAAGGAGGCGGTAAACTCGTAGACAGCAAAGAGGTAATAAGAGGAATCAGCCATGACCCCAAGGAATAGGAAATTAGTTCCAATTTCTTAATTCAAAAACCATTCACTGGCATCAAAGCACCCCCTTGAATGGAAAATGATGTATCCCTTTCTAAGATTCACACACGCTGCCTTGTTGACTATAATAACAAAAAAGAACATTCGCTGCCTGACCACGGTCGAGTGAGGTTGTGCGCTGCACCCCTCTGCTGTTCAGGCGAGCTACCTCAGTTCGTCACAACCATTGAGAAGTGAGGACGTGCGCTGCTCATTTACCAACATGGCGCTGCAGAGCTACAGACGCATCAACACTGTTTGCGTTGAGTTGACCCGTGGGGCTGTCACTGGAGCCACGATGGACTTGTTACTACCGGCGATTATCCGTGATACCTACGGTATCGCAAATGAAGAGATATGTGGTGTAGCACTTAATGGGACGACACGGATCTTCGTTAAAATGACGTCAGCAAATGTTTATGAAGCGGTGGTGGATAAGTATCAAGAGACCATTATAGCCGTCAATTCAGCTGTATCAGTACGTCTACATGATGTATCACGACACTACACATGGGTTAAAATAAGGAATGTGCCTTTTGAGGCGAATGAATTTGTTATAAAAGATGAACTACGTAATTATGGTACGGTTCATATGGCCTCTGCAGGTCGGTGGGCCGCTGGACCTTATGCTGGAAGTTTGGAGGGAACATATTCAGTCAAAATGACCTTACGCCATCCCATACCGTCCTATATTATGTTGCAAGCATTTCGAACTCAAGTATATGTAACATATGCGGGGCAACGTCGTACGTGTCGGCTGTGTGGATCGTATGACCACATAGCGGCACAGTGTGATAAGCGTCGTGGGAATCTCCAAATATCGCAACAGCAACAACCGGAAGAAGTCGAGGAAGTGGAGGGACGAGAACAGTCTTATGCTCACCCGTCTCGACAACGGACATCGTGGAGTGAAGAGGTAGAAAAAGCGCAGGAGAAGGCTTTGGAGGATGCAAAACAGCGAGAAGAATCACCATCACTGGATATAAATAAAGTATTTGAAGAGACTCTGCCACTATGGGGGACGAGGATGTAGCGGCGTCTTTAGTGAAGGCACTGGATGTATTGTTAGACGAGTCGATCGTCAACCGTGTGGAGGAACCAGGTGCAAATTTGGGATCGGTTTGAGCATCATGGTGAGGCGACGGATGAAAGCATTGAGTCTGGGGTGTCGCATGGCATGATGGTAAATATAGCAGAAGTGGAGGTGCATCATGATAGTACTAAAGAAATCCCAATGCAGGTGGAGGGTAGGACGCGAAAGCGAACTGCGACCCCACCAGACTCAGACGACGTGCTTACTCCTGCCCAAAGGCCAGGGAAAAAGTCTTGGGCGGATGTACAGAGGAAAGGGAACAGTGAATCCACGAAACAAGAGTTTATCAAGGTGATTCCCAAAAAAGGGGAGAGGGATAGAGGTGTAAAATGTATAAGTGAAAAGTCTATACCTAGAACCAAAGGAAAATCCCATTAATTGACTTTAAGGTTTTGACAATAAATATTAACGGTTTGAGATCTGAGCGGAAGCGAAAGTGGTTTAATGAATTTTTGGTGCGTCTAGATGTGGATGTGGTATTTATCAAGAACACAATTACAGAATTGGATATGAGTTGGAATTAGATGGTTACGATGTGTATATGGAATATGCGACGAGGTTAAAAGGAGGCGTCGCCATTCTGGTAAAGGAAAATAGCCCGTTTGTAGTACGCCATAGTGAAAGGGGGGAGGGGAGAGTGATTAGGGTGGATGGTTTATGGGGTAGAGTACATATAAGTTTTGTAGGTGTATATGGGCCGGCCGAGGGAGATGCACGACTTAAAACTCATTTTGTACAAGATGTATTAGTATATCATCTACGTAGTTTACCAAATGTAGCGATAATAGGGGGAGACTGGAATTGTGTAATACGACGAAAAGATGTGGAGCCTCGAGGAGCGGGTTGTTGCTTGGGGTTCCTGGGAGATTTATTGACGAGTGTGGGTTTAATGGATGTGTGTGGGGGGGGTGGCAATGTGGAGCATACTTTCATTAGAAGAGATTATGCGGCGAGATTAGATAGAATGTACGTGTCTAGTGCGGTTACAGTGCGGAGAGTGAGTGTGATAAATATGGTTTTTTCGGATCATAGAGGAGTTGTAATGGATGTAGATATTGAGGGTGTGCCTAGAAGGGGTCCGTCATTTTGGAAATTAAATGTAAAGTTATTGAAGAGAGAGGAAAGTCGTTTGTCTTTTGGGCATATGTGGGAACGCCTTGTGGTTGAAGCACCTGGAGATGTGGCTTTGGTTAATTGGTGGGAAATGATAGCCAAAAAGCGAATTAAGGAATTTTATATTAGTCAGGGAGTGAGATATAATCAGTTACAGTATGGTTTTCCAACGATATTTAGAGGGGCAGTTGCGCGACTGCTATGTACAAGCGAATGCTAATTATCCTGTTACAGAAATTGAACGAATTAAGGAGCAACTACGTAATTTACAAAACGAAAGGTTTGATGGGGAAAGGCTTAAGGGTGGAATCGAAGAGGTTTTGTGGGGAGATCGGCCGTCGGCGTGTGTGTTGAGGAATCAACACAGACGTCGCAAAGCAATGGAGTTAATGGGGTTGAATGTCCAGGTAGGTATGCAGGGGTATAGAGTGAATCAGGTGTTGACGACGACGGAGGGTATGAGTGGGTATATTGATGCTTGGGTTAAATTGAAAACGCAAAGTGTTGGAATAAGTGAAATTGCATTGCAGTCAATCGGTAGGTTTGTGCGTTGTGAGCTGGAGGAGCATGATCGTTTGATGTTGGGAGGGCCGATAACGGAGTGTGAGACTTGGGAGGCTTTATCTGGGGCGCAATTGGGTAAGGCGCCAGGAATAGATGGGTTGCCCAGCGACTTTTATATTCAAAATTGGAACGTTTTAAAAGGGGTTTTTGGTACGTTTATTCAATATCATGAAGCGGGATGGGGTTTTAGGGGAACAACAAAGGTTGGCTGTGGTCGTCCTAGTTCCTAAAGGCGAGCCATTAACGGTTAAAGATTATCGTGCAATCTCGTTATTATGTGGGGACTATAAAATTTTTGGAAGGATCTTGGCCAACAGAATAAAAAAAGTCCTGGGCAAAGTGATTGACAAGGGACAATATGGGGTGCCGGGCAGGTCTATGTATGAAGGTCACGGTATGATTAGAAGTTTTATTGAAGAAAGAGTAAGATTGGGAGATGGGGGGGTATTGGCTATAGATTGGGAGGCGGCATATGATAGTGTGGAACGGGAGACGTTATGGAAGATAATGAGATGGCAGGGGTTTGGGGCGGAAATTATATCATGGGCCAAATTAATGTATCAAGAGGCATCTTTGCGTGTGCAGGTGAATGGGAGGTTGGGAGATCGGATTCAGATGGGAAGGGGTTTGCGTCAAGGTTGTCCCCTTTCACAAATTTTTTTTGCTTGTTTTCAAGATCCCTTTTATAGAGGGATAAGGGTTTTATTGGAAGCAAATGGGATGAGTAATGTAAGGGGTGGGGGAGCGGGCATTGTTGGATATGTCGACGACACGACGATTTTGGTGAGAGAAAACATGGATTTGATTCGGGTAGAAAGTTAGTGAAAGTTTTTGAAAAGGCTACTGGCATGACGATCAACATGAGGAAAACAAAGTATATGAATCTTGGAAAAGGGTCGCGTGAGGAAGGAATGGTAGCTGAAAGGTGGGAAAGGGTGGACCAAATAAAGATATGTGGGATCGTTTATGTAAATGATATCAAGTCAGCACAACAAATAAATTCCGTGCGTATCGTTGATAGTGTTCTGAAGCGTCTTAGTGGGTTGAGAGCTGCTAATTTAAGTTTGCAACAAAGGGTGATAACAACGAATGTGCTATTATATAGTAA